GAGGTCTCACAACTTGAAGAAATTGCTGGGATTAGTGGATGGGCTACCGTACCCGCTACAGTTGACATCATGGCTTTCCTTACCAGTCCCTTGTGTCCTAAAATACTATAATTTCTACACTTTGAGAACCCTTTTCTCTTTTACATTGCACTTTACACCTGCCTGTCTTTCTCCCTGGTGGTGTTTTAATAGTGTTTGCAATTTTTTCCCTTAGATAAATGCCTTGGAGGAACTAATTGTGCATTCAGAAGAATACATAGTGTGTTTAACTACCTTATCTGGAGGGAAATGGATGACTATTACAAACATCTCATTTTATTTTCTGATTTTGAAAGATTGCAGGGACTAGTCAGTGCACCATTTTCAAACCTTTGCATCTTGTTGGTACTGCCAGAACTAAAATAATGAATTATGAAACGTGCGAGAGATATATTGAAGTCTTTGGGCATTTTCATTCATTAGCTATAAAAATTCTTCCCAAATGTAACAGAAGATACAGTATGAGTCAAGGAAGGCTGTCAAGATGCGATGGCAAATTTGGTACCCTCAGACTGGCACTGTTCCCTGATTCTGAGGGGGTTTTGTTTCAGTCTGTGCAGCTGTTTGCGTGTTGCTGTGCTGGATTCCCAGCTAACGATACCCACTGTGAGATGCCAACAAAACTGCAGTATTTCTCTCTAAACTTTTGCAACAAATTTTCCCAGCGAATATGGAGTTGGTGGTTTTGTCAGTGTTTCTGTTTGTGCATTTTTTTGTAGGATACCTTTTGGCTGCATCTTGCTTCTCCTCACGTAACATCCCTGGCAAACAAAGCTCTTCTGCAGCTGACAGCCAGGGCTGAGGTGTTGAGTCTGTCTTAATGTTGTGTCCGTAACTTGGGAAGAATTTCAAATCAACTTTTGTAGCTAGTGAAAATGTATTTTTCTTTTTTTCTTCCCTTAATTGGCTTCTTCCTTCTGCAGTAGTGATCCTGATCAAATGTAAATTGCTTGTACCTTGAAAATAGACAAAAGGCTCCAGAAGTACCTTTCTTACAATTCTATTTGACAAGGATGCTTCAATGTCTGAACAGTGGACAGGGGCAAAGTGGTAGATTCAAACTTGCTTTTCTAAATATTTGTGTTTTAAGTGGAGCACTACATTGTCATTTCATGACTGTTTAATAATTATGTGGTTTTAATAGTGCCTTATTACTTTATAATTAATTTTATTGTTGGAGTGAAGGATAAACAGTTGGGCTCTGATATAAAGCTGTTGTGGGCTTTAGAAAGAACCCGACAAGCAAATAATTTGACTGTAGTTGTAGACTGATGCAGTTGTTATTTGGTTTTACTAGCCTTGCGCTGTAACCAACTTTTGGTTTTAATAATCAGTTTTTGAAAGTTGCGCTTTGCTGGGGTCATGTGCAGTGGGAATCCAGAAAGTAAATTCTTACAAGGCTGGAATCACAGTGATGATCTGCAAGGATGATTTGGAAAGATCAAGGCTTGAAATCCCTGAGCAGTGCCTGAAATTTTCATCTAGATAAGTGCCTGCAGTGCATTTGCCACACGGTGCCTTTGCAGCCTTGCTTTTCATCAAGTGTTCCCATAGAACAATCCTGTAGTAAGGGGTGGAACAGAATTCCTGTTGCTTACCTGCGGCTTTGAAGTTGTTGTCAGAGGGAGGGTGGCTGGAGGGCGTGGGCAGGAGGAAGGGGCAGCAGCAATGGACTGGCTCTGGGGTGAGATTCATGGGGGTGAAGTGTGTACCCCGCAAAGCAGTGTGAAGCACTGCTCAGCTGCCGCTGAGGATCTGATTTATAATTAATAAGCTGTCATTTACATAGCAAGAAGATGGACTCTCCTGAAATAAATCAGGCATAGCTCTCTGAAAGCCTAACACTTGATGAGAATGCACTGTGTCCTTCAAGCCTCCTACCTCGAGAAATTATCTGATGTACCCATGGAGGCTGCTTCTCCTCCCCTCACCAAATGCAGGATTTTGATTGAAATTGTTAATATTAATTGGAGCTGAGATGATTGCAGTGCCACCCCATCAAGCTTCAGCAGCCCTCCTGCTCGCTGACGTCGCGGCAGGAGCCTGTTCAGCATGGGCGGCTCTTCTCTGCTATGGCACGTATAGTGGTATCAGGTTGATTAATGTGCCCAATAGAAATAAAACAAATGGAAATTTTTTTTAGATTATACAGTACACTCATAAATATTAATGCACTTTTGTATTGAATTGCATGTAATTACATATTTATACATTTAAGTCACCTTCCTGATACACTTAAGGCACTTTACTGATGAAAGATATCTCTGAATAAGATGGTTTTAAACCATGCCTAATATGTTTGTAGGATTTATTTAATAATGTGTGGGCTTGTATGCTGGCAGGAGAGGAGAAAAACCTCCATTAAAGTCTGTATGTGTTGTTTGCAGGGTCTGCTCCTTACTTTGAATCGACTCCATGGGTAGCTGCTGAAAAAATACGTCTCGACATGAAATATTACTACATCTCCTTATCTATGTAGATAAGGTCTGTGCAGTCCTGTCACCTTAGAGTAATTACAGCTTATTACTCTAATCATGATGATGCCTGAAGTCTGTAATTAAGATTGTGCTGGCTAATGTACTAGCACGCGGCATGGTACAGCTATTGTCCTATCTAAACAACAGAGAGATAAAAATTGGATGAGGGAGAAAGGGCGGGAAGTGGGGAAGTGATTTATGTGGGGCCAAGTTCCCAGCCAAGTTCTGCCTCCACCAAACCCGATGGCTCCTGAGAGGGCGGAATCCGTGCGCGTCGTCCGCGGCCTCACGTGTGCTGCTGCACCCGCTGTGTGTCCGAAGCAATCCCGGGCAGTTTGCACCCTCAAACGTGAGGACTGACACCCTGTGTCGTATCTATTGAAGCTAGTTTCAATGCATCGTCTCCACCTGTGTCTCAGCTTTTATTCTTTTAACGTGTCCTGTTGCAGTCCAGTCTGCAGATGAGGAATTTAATACATATTTCTGTATACATATACATTTTAAGGCCAAATAGCTTATCTGTTGGAAGCAATGAGAGGTTCCCCCATACAGTTCAATAATACAGGGTTTTGACCCACAGCACTCTGTAATTTTCTCTGCAGTGATGTCAGCTGGTGAAAAGCAGACGGCTGTTCTGGAGGAATGTGGTTGTCTAAACACCAATCTTTATGTCTAAATTTCATAGTAAGCCCACCCACCAAACTGGATTTAAGGCCTGGTTTTACAATTTGCAGAATGGCAAGCTATGTACATACGGAGCTCCCTTTCCTCTCTTTGGTTGTGAGCAGAAGAGGCACCTTATTTTTGGAGATGTCTGCAAATTGTTCCTTCTGTCTTAGAAGGTACATTTTCATAGAGTTTGCAGAAGGTTTTGTGAATTTGGTGTCACTCATCTTTGCCGTAGGTATGCATGCAGATTCTTTCATCCCAATTCTGACATGAGCTAAACTTTCTTTCTTTAGGTGTATTTGACAGTTCATGAAACTTTATGCAGTTGGCTAGAACATGGGCTTCTTATGGAGGAGATTATGCCAGATATGCCCGTAGTGATCTGCAAAATGTGACTCATTTTACACCCTCTTTAAAGCTAATGGGAACTAGTAATTTCTTGATGGCAGTGCTAGCCCCATTAGACATTTTATAAGCTTCTGGAAGCTTGCCACTGTTTCGTTTAGATCACTCATAGCTGGGGGGGAAAAAATAAATCCCACAAAAGCTATTTAGTCATTAGGAGATTATTTTTTTTTTTCCCAGAAAGTTAGTCCCTTTCTTCACTGCTTCAACCTTTTGTATTTAGAGTGAAACCTCCATTTCTATCTATAAATACTAACTCTCTGTTTTAACAGGCATCCTGTGCTGGTATAATGTACTTTTCATAAAGTATTCAATTTTTTTATACTGATCTGAAAAAAATAAAGATTTATGTTTAGCATTAGCAGTATGGTGATAGTTATCTTAAAGCATGAATCTGTCCTGTGATAAAATATCTCATTGTTTCAATAGATTGCATTGAACACATTGGAATTCTGGTGCTTTTTCCCTGTGTTGAAGTTGCCCTGGGTGAATTGCAGTATTGGTTTTTCCAGTTTATTTCAGAGAGTGTAGCAGAATTAGGGCCAAGTGCAGGAACGGTTGTCTGAGGTCTCAGGAGGTCAACATGGATTTAGTTGCTGTAGTTGCTCTTTTTATGAAGCTATTGATGATGAGCATTGGTGAAATTGTTACTGCAATATATGACACCGAGAATTTGCCTTCTTGCATTTATGTCATGTATCAAAATCTAAAACCTTCCTGGTAAAGGAGACCAAAGGTGTGCTCAGAAGAGTGTATCTTCCCTATTTGCATTTCTTTGGGCTTGCTCCGTAGGATCGCTCAGCTTGTGTACAGTGCTTTTCACAAGTAGATCTTAAAACATATTATGAAGATCAGTGCTACTACTGACTTATTTTTCAGTAGCTGGAAGAACCAAAAAGAGACATGACATTCTTAAAATACTGATCCTACTTTATAGCTGAGGATGCTAAAGATTTTTTTTCAGCAGATTGGATAAGGATTCTAACTTTTCTGGTATGAATAACATTGTGTGAAGAAAAGCTTAGGATATTTCCCATGGTGTCTTAGGTGAAGAAGAGGTAGAAAAAATGTCTTATAGCTTTTGTTCTGTATTCACTTCTTTAATGCTTGTAAAATTATTCTTTTTACCAAATATCAAATTTGAACCTTGACTGTCTTTGATTTAATTAATCTTCTCATTGGTTCTAGCTATGAATTTTGTGAAGCTCTTGTGTTTTAGATAGGCATTTAGGGAGCATTCTTTAATTAAAGCCAAACTGACTTTTGCCTTTAGGCATGTTTTTTTTTCATTAGAATGTGGCATAATTTGAATTATATTCTCCTGAACCTGAATCTTTATGTGGCACAGGGACCAATACCCCAATATCTTTCCTACTGTCGTTATAATATTGAGTGACAATAAACAGCAGCATGAAGACTTACGAGATCACACAGTACTTCAGGGTAGGGCATAGAGAGCTTCTGGTCAAAGCAGCCAGGCATGTTAGTAGAGTATGCTTAAAGTATTATACTATTTAAGTAATATGCCCCTTGTATGGAAATACTACAGGATGTATGTAGTTCTTGGAGTAGATGTGACTTAGCAGATTGTATTCATTAGATGCAGAATATTAATTGTATTTTTGAAATGCTGGGGTTTCAACCCCAAGCCCCAAATTAAGGTTGACATGTGGGTGATTCCCACAGCCCTTCCCAAAGGGGGGTGAGTTTGCCTTCAGGCTTCCCTCCAGGGTGGTGCCGGCCTGGCAGACAGAGCCATTGGGTAAATGAGCCCCAGGGGTCCCACACTGAGTAACCAAGGGTCAGGTGTCCCACTGAGGGGTAACAGCTGGGACCACTTGCAGGCAGGGGCAGTGTCTGTCTGTGAGGTGGATGCCCTGTGCAGAGTTCCTTGTTGGGGTAGGACCTCCTGCCTCCCTGGGACTGGGCTCCAGTCAGCTCTGGCTTTGTAAATGTGGGCTGTATAGAGATTCAGTGTGTGGCTTCTTTGGTCTGATGTGTTTGGCTTGTTGACTCGGTTGTCTCTCATCCCTTCTATGGGAGACTGCATGTCACCATTTATTCCACCCATTGTTGGTCGTGTGGTGTTGTTGGGGTCAGTGGGATTGATGTCGATTATGTATAATCTGACTTGTTTGTACCCCCAGCGCTCACCCAGGTACTGACCCTTTTGTATCAAATACAATTTGGTTATTGGCTCATCTTTATGCTGGCTGTGTCCTTTATGCTAGGCCTGATCATTGGCAAAACAATTTTACACCTCTCCAATAGCTTCTAATTCCTCTCTCCTAATGACCCTTCAGCCTCTTCTTCCTCTGCCCTTAATTCTGTGTTATTGGAAATTTTTTTTTTCAAGTAACATTTATTTGAAGCAAAAGTAGGAATTCTATGGGTTGCAGGTTATGTTATAAGACTTGAGTGGTTTTTATAGGCGGGTATTGATTCTGAGGTTTAAAGAAGAGTCAGTAACAGTTTTCAAATAGAAGTGATTTTTTTACGTACCCCCTGCATTTGGGATTCTTTTGCTTAGGTCAGGCTTGAGGGAAACATCCGCTGAAGTCAATTGAGATTCATTTGCTATAACTGGATTTAAGTCAGCTCTTGCCTTGGCTTGTCAAATACAAGAAACAATAAAAATAAATGTGAAAAACCAAGCCTTGTTTAAATCAAAAATGATTGCTAATTTAAACATTATAAACGTACGCTGTCTTCTAAATGCATGCACACTTGATACATGGGATGTTTTTGAGAATGATGAAGTTGACAGTATAAAATCTAAAGGAGTATGTGTTCACTTCCATGCACTTGCTTCATCTTAGAAATTTTATTTTGTGTTTGCCTATCATTTGATGGGCATTCGTGAAGACTGTTTTTTCCTATTCTGGTGACTGTGGCATTGCCCTGAGAATGCTGTGCTGGTCACAGCACAGCTGCTTAAATGCTGATTAAAGAGATCGCCCAAATCAGAGCCATATCTTAACCGCTGTTTTTTTCTTCTCTTCCTTTCCCTGCTCTCTCCCTCTGCAGAAGGACGTAGCTCTGAAACCTCAGGAACGCGTGGAGAAGCGTCAGAATCCTCTAGCCAAGAAAAAACGGGAAGCACTTACCAATGGGCTGTCGTATCTTCCGAAAAAGAACAGACTTCACCACCACCAGTACAGCTCTGACCGAGAAAATGATCGTAATCTTTGTCAGCACCTTGGGAAAAGGAAGAAAATACCGAAGGGCCTCAGACAGGTGGGAGAGAAGTTATCTGTTGTGGGGAGGGAGGGCTTTGGCTTTTAGCACGTGGTATGTGGAAGCGGATTTCTCACTTATTTTAACCCCTTTGTAGGTGTTTTATTCTTGGTCTCTTGGGTGCCATTTGGTATTGTGTCCTGGTACTAGAAGAGATTTAAGTGAGTGGGAAAGCAAGCAGTGTATTGATGTTAGAGCCGAGCTGATTAATAAATGTGCAAGGGCTGGAGGAGCTTCCCACAGACTGGCTGTGAGACTGTAGGGGGCAAACAAATGTGGTCTCTCTACTACATTGTTAGGCCAACTTTGTACTATAAATATGCCCTCTTTGTAAACAGAAGCATAAGACCCTTCTGAACATCAAGGGCAAGCTGAGGTAATGTCAAGAGGGGCAGCTGTTAATCAAGACAAACCTCTTAAGACTAGTTATGGTGTGAGGAGCTCCTTTGTAGGACATCAGTGGTACCAAGGTATGCTGGTTTGGGTTACTAATCCCTTACCCGTAAGCACGAACTTCCTGACTCCCCAACACTGGTGCTCATACTGCGGGAGCTGTGGCACATGTGTGACAGAAGTGAGCATGTAGCATCCAAGGTTGCAAAGACTGAGGTGGGAAATCTTGGTCTCTTCTTCAGGACTGTGCAGTGCTGTGTTACGTTTTTTTAAAAAAGAAGAAAGCGTGACAAATATGATTTCTCTCAAGAGAAGGCTGTGGGGGAAAAAAAGAGCCATATTTTGCTTTTTTTAATGAATAAATATCCCCTGTGTGTTTGTTATATATAAAAGACTAATTAGGGCTGGGGATTTTAAGAGTAGCATGTGCGTGTGTGGTCATTTGGCTCACTGTCTGCGGAACTGAAGTCTAAAGCAACAGGAAGGTGGCCAGTTTTGGCTTAAATTTGAGTGAAGTTAATGACACACTAACCAAAATTTATATGTCTAATGGATGTGGCTGATATTCATTGAATAAGTCTTCATCCTTGTTTAGTGCAAACCAAACATTGCTTTGCAGAGAAACTTTTAGAAAATAGTGAGACTTTGCTGCTTCTTGTTTTGTGAGCTCAGGGAAATAGAAGGAACATTGAGGATGACAATGACATTGACTTGTATTCGTTTTGATAGTTACAGAAGTTGGTAAAAAAATATGTTTTCATGATTATTTTTACGCCTACATGGTGTATAGAAATAAAATAAGAGATTATACAGTGCTGCAGCCAAGCAAACAAATTGTAAAATGCTTATTCTACACTACCACACCCATTAAAGGTATTTCTTTTTATTTTGTGTTTCAAAGGGAGGTGGGAAAACTCTTCAGGATAGATGATACCATGGTTACATTACAAGGAGATTCTGAAAGTTGCTGTGTTTTCCTGTCTGTTTTCTCTGTTCACTTACATGATCTTCACTCTATTCCTTTTTAGTATATCAAATGGTAACTGTATCTGCTTTGTACAATAGGAACTGGCCTTCGTAAAAGCTGACTTTTTGCACTATTTGATTCCCCTGGCATTGCCTGCTGTCAGGTGAAACCTTTCTTCCAGATACTTAAACTATGAAAGAATCAGCCTCACTGCTGATCGAGGTTATTTGTGAGGTTATGTTTTTAGGAATAAATATACACTGGCTTGAAAGATATTGAGTTGACAAATGTTATGGAAAATGTTTTTTTCCTTTTAGCTGATAAATCTGAGTACTCAGCCTAATTCCTGAGGGATAAGGCTGAGAGGAAATCAAATATCTTGCTCAGTATAAATTTAATACATTTGGTAGGGGTGTAGCTCCTTAGATAAGAACATTTTAGTCTCATGAACAGTTTAGGTGCTGACAAATCCAAGTGGCTTTGGCACTTAGACGTGGAAAAAAGATGTCATGGAAAAGACTATAAAGCTTATTTGAGAGTCATGCCCACAACCTTTATATATAGTGTTTCTGGTAAGCATTTTCTGTCATCTTTCAAGACAAATGGTGAAGACTTCAAAAAAAGGAGGAGAATGATAACTTCTGAGGATGGTTTTCTCTGATCATGTAACGCTTTTCATCCTAGAGTGACTCTTGGCTGCACACCTTGGGTTTGCTTCCCCACCCAGCTCCATCCCACTGAATTTCTGGGCTGTCAATAGGAAGTAAAGTTGGTTGTCAGCCTTCTCAGATGACAGCAAGGCAAGAACTGGGGCCACTGTGTTTTGTGCTTGACGAAGTAGGAGGGCCCAAAGCCAATTAAAGTTCAGTATGCTTCTGGGTATATGTGATGTCCTTGCTATATTAGGGCTATATATTTTATATGTAAACAATATATCTTGCCCCTGTTGGAGGAATCCTGAACTGTCACATGTGAATATTAGAATTGGATGGTAGGATGCATTCTCAGTGCTGTCACTCGTATTCCTGTGCTGGCATAAGATCTTGGCTGCAGTCTGTCCCTGTTGGGAAGTGTTTTATACTCAAAGATCTTGTTCGTTGCTTTACCAATAGTTAACAGTCCGGTCTGATATGTCTTTCTGTGAAATCTGTTATCTGCTGGAAATACCTCTCACATGCAGGATTTAGTTGAAGTCAGCTATTGGAAGGATTGCTAATTAGTTTTCAGAGAAAATCCTTGCAGTATTCATGCAGGTATTTATCCAGCTATGCTGAAATGCCTACAGGTTTATTGAAATCCAGAAAATGTGAAACTGTAGGTTAATTAAAGCTCATATTTTACTAGTGAGAAGACTTTTGAACTCTGCTTTGTGAGCTTTTATAAATGTACTTATTAAATGCCTCAAGGAAATTTTACTTGGCGTTAAACAAACATAAGACTCGTCAGAATATTTCTCCAGCGTTTTAAATTTAATTTCCTTTACGTTAATTGGTGATGGTGTGTTTTTGTGTGTTTTCTGTAAAAATCAATTGGAAATCTTAAAGTGAACATTTTTAAGCTATCAAAAGGCTGGCAAAAATTTTTAAATAGTTTTTAATGAGTTTTTATTCCTCAGAGTTCAAGCAGAGGGGGGCGTATCAGGAAACAATGAGTTTTCATTGCAGAAGGAGTGTTGAGAGTATTTTGAATAGTGAGAGGGAAGGACCATTTCTCTTTATTCAGTGGATGTGTGTTTTGGAAGGAGCAAAAGACACTGACTTCTATTCTCTCTACCGTTTTCTTCATGTACTGGGAGATTCATATGCCTTCTTGCAGCAAAGGATCGTCTTTGGCATATGCTGCTAAAACAGCAATCTGTGTGCTGGGCAAGTGGTATCTTAGCTGGCTTACATGTATACAAGAGCCAACTGCTGCTAGGCGCTACCTTCACCGCCTGATTCCAAAGACACTTGCAGAATATTAAATCCCAATCCCAGATATTGTGTGAGTGCAAGGAAGGAGACAAACTGGTAATAAATAAGGGGCAGATGATGAATAGTGGTAAGAAAATGCATGATGGAGAGATGAATTAGGGGGCAAATTTTAATAAGATAAAGGAAAAATGGGAAGAATAGCAAAAAAAGATACACTGCTGACTCCGGCAGTCATCAACTAAAAGCATTATAAATTATTAGCTATAACCTTGTAGCCCATTTCATGAATCAATTAAAGGGGAGGAAGGGATGTATTGAACTTCTCCTTCTCAGAATGAAGTCCACGATCCCCTTGGCAGTCTCACCCTGAAGGCCTGCATCCTAAATTTGAGACTGCCAAGGCTGTGGATGGCTGATCTGGACGGCTGCTGTTGTCCCCTGTCATCATCACTTGCAAACATCACGTCGTTAACTGTGTTGCAGATTTAGTTCTAGCACGCTTGTCTCCTGCTGCAGAGGTGCTCGTGTGCTTCAGTGCAGCAAACCTCTGGTGCAGGGGGTGACATAACTACCGTGTGATCTGCATTTAATCACGCTTACAGTCACAAATGGCATTTGCACGCTTTTAGACAAGCCTGTACATGACAGGTAATGAGAGGGGAGCGGGAGGTGGGTGTTAGCTGTATGGTTTGTGGTGACATTGGTCGGGGAGCTGAGCAGATGGGTTTGATTGTCACCGGCAGTGAGATTCCAGTGAGAGCTGACTGTGGTGACAAGCGATTTACAATGTGCTATTTACAGTTTGGGTTTGCAGTCTCTCAATGACATCCGAGTGCTCTTTAGCAACTGCTTTCATTACTGCTTTTCTAAGAGCTGTTAATTGAAAATGAAATTGTGGGTGGGCTTTGGGAGTGGAGTAACAGCTACAAGGATTATACGCAACCACGGAGAACTGTTTAATTTCTTTGACTCCCAACTTGTATCTCTGTGCAGCAGCAAGGGCAAAATGTGTATGTATTGTACAGAGTGAGGTCAGACACCTTGGAAATACTGCATACAGCATTCATACACCCGTAATGAGTGATAAAGGCTTGAATCTCCTTTTACATAGCTACTGTGATTTTGGATTACTTTACTGGCAGCCAGTGGACTTCAGTAACTATAAAACTGCTGAAAATCAAGAAGGAGCCTGGGCCATGAAGATAGCTTGTGTGGGACAATACAGAGGTTTGCAAGTGATGCTGGGTGTGTTTGGGCTACTCTTACGCTGCTGGAGGTTGGGCTCTGTAGGACTGAAGTTAAAGGAAGCGTTTCTAGGTACTCGTAGAGCATGGGACAGTGTTGCATACCTTAGGAGCAGTACCAGCTGGTCATCAGGTCAGCACTAATACTACCATGCATTAATGGAAATAAAGAAAATGTTTCTTTCCATTCTGTTTGTAAAGAGAGTTTTGGGGGGTTTTGGGGTTTTTTTTACATTTTAAAATGCTAGCACTACCCCTTTGAAATTACTAGGTTTGCTGTTTGTGTTACAACTTACACAGTGTGTTTTGATTATGTGCAAGTGTGGCCAAAAGGTTGAAGTCACCTGAAGTAAATGTCACAAGCAACAGTAGTTTTCAGGGGCACTGGTTTAATGAAAATTTGTCTACTCTGTGCTGGTATCATGTCATGCAAGGGCATTGTTTATTTGGATTTATTTGTCAATCCACTTTATTAATGCCATT